CGCTCTATCCACTGAGCCACACCGGTTTCGGCTGCCCTCTCCTCTTCTGCCTCCTCCTTCTTCCCTCCTCTCTCCTGCCACCCTCTCTCCTGCCATCCTCCTCCTCCTCCCTGCCTTCCTCTCTCTTGCCTCTTCCCTTCTCCCTCCTCCTTCCTCTCTTCTCCCTCCTCCCTCCCACCCCGCCTCCATGTGTCCCTGCAGCCGAGGACCAGCGCTGCTCAGGATGGGGGCGTGTCCAGGCGTGGGGCCGGGGCACAGAGAGAGGAAACGGTCCCCATTCTTCAGCTGCTCCCCACCCGCCTCCTTTTCACACAAAGGCCAGTGCGGCTGGCAGATGTGTGTGTGGGGGGGGACGCGCTGAGGCTGGACTTCCTGCTTCAGGTTGACCTCCGTGTCGCCTCTACCAGTGACCACAGCACAGCCTCCGGCGCCCGGCTCTCCTCCGTGCCACCCGGGGTGCCCATCCTGGCCGTGCAGCCTCCTGAGCCACCGCCTAGGGGGTGGGGAGGTCTCTCCCAAGGGCCACCAGGCACCCACAGTGTCCGTCCTCCCAATATGGGTCCACACGCCCACTGGCACCTTCACAGCTGACCCCCTTTGATTACATTTTTTAAATTTTTATTTATTTCTCTTTTAATATATTTTATTGATTTTTCACAGAGAGGAAGGGAGACGGAGAGAGAGTTAGAAACATCGGTGAGAGAGAAACATCCATCAGCTGCATCCTGCACTTCCCCGCCCACCTCCCCACTGGGGATGTGCCTGCAACCAAGGCACATGCCCTTGACCGGAATCGAACCTGGGACTTCTCAGTCTGCAGGTCGACCTTCTACCCACTGAGCCAAACCGGTTAGGGCTCCTTTAATTTATTTTTATTGATTTCAGAGAGACAAAGGGAGAGAGAGAGAGAGGAATATCAGTGATGAGAGAAAACCATGGATCAGCTGCCTCCTGCACGCCCCACACTGGGGATGGAGCCCGCAATCCGGGCCTGTGCCCTGACCGGGAATCGAACCCTGACCTCCTGGTTCCTGGGTCGATGCTCAACCACTGAGCCACACTGAAGGTTTCTTACTTAGCATTCCGCCACAGAAATGGCTTCAGGAAAGCACAGTGAGAATGGAACTGGGAGTTGGAAGCCCTGAGGGATATTTTCCCGTACATGTTCGTCCATTCCAGCAGTGGGCAAACCGTGGCTCTCGAGCCACACACGGCTCTCGGGCCCCTTGAGTGTGGCTCTTCCACAACACACCACGGCCTGGGAAAGTCTATGTTGAAGAAGTGGCATTCAGAGAAGTTTAAGTTTTAAAAAAAAGTCATCGGGACCGGTGTGGCTTCAGTGGATAGAGCGTCGGCCTGCGGACTGAAGGGTCCCAGGTTCGATTCCAGTCAAGGGCATGGACCTTGGTTGCGGGCCTACTGGGGATGTGCAAGAGGCGGCTGACCGATGATTCTCTCTCGTCGATGTTTCTAGCTCTCTATCCCTCTCCCTTCCTCTCTGTGAAAAATCAATAAACTATATTAAAAAATGAATAAATAAATAATGTGGCTCTCCAAAGAAATCTGAATTGCTGTGCTGCTGTGTTTGGCTCCGTTGACTAATGAGTTTGCCAGCCACGGGTCCGTCCCATCCCGGTTCCGGGAAGGCCAGCCCCGGGACAGCTTGCCGATGGAGATGGAAGCTCAGGGAGGCAGGATGGGGCTGGGCCGGAAGCAGAGACACTTTCTTTTTCACCTTGAAAAGCGATCACGGGGACGGCCTCCTCGGGCGCACGTACCGCTGCTCCGGGCGCGTGTGACACGTGGAATCCCGAGGAGTGGCCACGGGTGGGACGGGCCGGGGAGCCGGGCCAGGGGCCGCCCCCGGGGGCCTGGGAAGGAAATCAGCGTGCGAGGCCCACAGCGCTGCAGAGAGAACACAGAAATACATGGACGGCTGTGTCACCGAGATCTTGGGAGACAGGACTTGAAGAAGGGAGCTTTCAACCATGCGAGGACTGTTCTCGAAGGAAACCATTCGGCTTGTCAATAAATAAGACCATTCCTATTTCCCAGCGATTCTCCCTTCAGCAATGTACCCGAGAAAGCGGTCATTAGGCCATTTGTGTCCGGTTTTTGTTGGCTTTATTTGTACTGATTGCAGAGAGGAAAGGAGAGTGGGGGAGAGAGAGAAACATCCATGAGAGGATCATGGATCGGCTGCCTCGTGCATGCCCCTACTGGGAACCGAGCCCACAACCCGGGCCTGGGCCCAGACTGGCAATCGAACCGTGACCTCCTGGTTCATAGGTCGATGCTCAACCACCGAGCCACGCTGGCCGGGCCATTTTGCGTTGGTTTTTGTTTGCAATCACAAGCATTTAAAAATAACACTTAGGCTGAAACCGGTGTGGCTCAGTGGATGGAGCGTCGGCCTGAGGACCGATGGATCCCAGGTTCGATACCGGTCGAGGGCATGTACCTTGGTTGTGGGCACGTCCCCAGTGGGGGGTGTGCAAGAAGCAGCTGATTGATGGTTCTCTCTCATTGATGTTTCTAACTCTCTATCCCTCTCTCTAAAAAAATCAATAAAATATATTAAAAAATAAAAATAAATAAAATACCCCGGTGCGTTTCCTATCTGCCATTGGCTCTATGTGCCGGCATTCAGCCAGGAAAGCAGAGCGCACTGCCGGTGCCCCACGCAGGAAAGACTTAATCCAGGTGCTTCCAAAACCTGGGAGCGGCCGGGCCCGCTGCCAGCGACCTCGGGGAGTCACGGAGCCACGGGAAGGGCAGGAAATGGGGCTGATGACAGGGCGGGTGGCCGCCCTGATGCAGGTGAGGGCCCTGCGGGAGCTCACGTCTGCCACCCACACGCCCTCACACCTGCCCCCGGAGGTCTCGGGGCAGGGCGGCCTTTGTCCTCTTGTTTTTCCCTCAGGACCTGGACCTCTCATTGTTTTATTTTTGTTTTTTCCATTGTTTTAATTAAGGTATTATCTGTGTACATATCTTACCATGCCCTCCCTCCCCAGAGTTTTGTGTCCGTTGGTTATGCTTCTATGCATGCATACAAGTCCTTCGGTTGATCTCTTATCCCCCCCAGATCTCCCTCCCCTCCCCGCTGTCATTGGACAGTCTGCTTGTTGCTTTACTGCCTCTGTATCTATCTTTTTGTTCATCAGTTTATAATGTCCTTTATTATCCATACATGAGTGAGGTCATGTGGTGTTTCTCTTTCATTGACTGGCTTATTTCACTCAGCATGATGTTCTCCAATTCCATCCAGGTTGCTGCAAATGATAAGAATTCCTTCCTTTTGCCGGGACCGGTTTGGCTCAGGGGATAGAGCGTCGGCCTGCGAACTGAAAGGTCCAGGGTTCGATTCCGGGCAAGGGCATGTACCTTGGTTGCGGGCACATCCCCAGTAGGGGGTGTGCAGGAGGTGGCTGATGGATGTTTCTCTCTCATCGATGTTACTAACTCTCTATCCCTCTCCTTTCCTCTCTGTAAAAATCAATAAAATACATTTTTTTAAAACATTAAAAAAATAAGATTAACTTTGTTTTAAAATTTTATTCAAAGACTTCAGTTTTAAACATCTGTAAGGTATTTTGCTTTGAACATAGATTTAACCTCAAGTGGCAGAACAAAAATATGTCACGAGACTACATTTCAGCGATATATCTTTGAACAGGGAAACAGAAAGACTCACCACCACCAAAACAAGCTATCCAACAAACCTGATTTATTAGGCATGCCTGTGTTTTATTTTCCTCTAGGTAATTTGTTGGAAGGAAATTACACTTTCAAAGAATCAGCCCTTACAAACAGAGCCGTTAATCTTTCAAAAAATAACATCCAGTTGCTAGATTTTCAAAACGTACAAAAAAACCCAGTGGAAGCGTCTGGTTGCCGGCCAACAGCGTCATGCTCCGGTCGATTTCACAATACAGGGGACGACTACAGCTAATTTCTGTAGGCAAATGCCCATCCTACATGGAACCGGAAACTGCCACTGTGGTTCCCAACGTGCTGACAATTGTCTTATTGCTGAATTGTACAGGATAAGTTTTCTTTGGCAACTTTTTATACTATCGATTAACACAACTCGACGACTAGACAGCCATAAAGGTTTGGGTTAACTTAGTATTTCAACAATGTCAAAATTTCATAATAATCACTTAAATAGAATTTCTTATAAATGCCAGAATAGGGAAGTCTCCAAACACGCCTAATTCACTATAATTGACAAAAAACAAAAAACAAAAAAAACTGCTAACTAATCACTACTAAAAGCTGTACAGTTGTATGTACAAGTATATAACTCAACTCAAACGCCAGTAAAAATATTACAGTCTGAATTCCAATCCTCTATCAGATTTTCTGTGATAAAAGCACGAAAGTTAAACGTAGAAACTAACATCTGGGTACCTGTCGATTTTTCTGGAAGGCGATTCCATCGTATGGATTCAAAGTGGCCTAACTCAGCCAGAACATGCTGGGAATCCTTTCCAGGATGCCACAGAAAATTATCAAGTATATTGATAACTCAGTCATTTTCATTCTGTTCTACGGAATAAGCCTATTTTGGAGACTTGGCACAGTACTACCAAGAAATTTAAACAAAAAGCTCAAGTCTGGGTATCTAACTAGAAAGTCTTGTCTATGTATCACGTCGCCTTAATTACGATTCGATTCCACTAACTACTAGCACTCAGAACCCACACCCACCACGTGAAGCGCAACGGTGCAGGAAGTGCACTCGGACACATTCACGTCACAGAGAACGGGGATGGGATTCAGCCCCGCAAAAACTCAGAGGCCTCCAGGCAAACATCTGTACGCAAGCTTTCATGAGTAAGACAGAGAAAAGGATTCCTTTCGATGACGCTATGTACAGCTTGTTTGTAATTCCGAAAAAGGGAAACTGAAAATCTAGGTGAAAAGCCACAATAAAGTCAAATACAACACCAAGTGACGGTCTGACAGGCTGGTCTCTCTCGGGAGACGCTGTTCTAAGAAATGCCCTCCTCCTGATCGATCATCTCCGTCTTCACGGAGAAGACGTCGGCCAGCATGTGCTTGGGGATCTCCGAGCCGCGGACTCTGAGGGCGTAGCAGGCGTTCTCCACCTTGGCCAGGCTCTGCTTCAGGGTGTAGAGCTTCTTGGACACCTCGTAGGGGCCGGTGTTGCCGATGAAGGAGAAGCCGTCGTACACCTGGCGCAGGAACTGGCTCACCTCGAAGGGCGTGTCGATGTCGCCGTTGCCCACGCTGTTGATGCACATCCGCATCAGCTCGCCCGTCAGGTCCGCCACGCCCAGGAGGTAGTCCACGGGCGTGATTCTCAGCCTCCAGGGACCCAACTCTTTATCCTGGGCATCGGGAGAGGGCTGGGGAGAGCACACACACACACACACACACACACAGACACAGAAAACACCCGGTGAGAAGGAGGGGCATGCATGTGCCGTGTTTACTAGAAGGTACAAAACCAAGAGCCGCTCAGCCACGCTCATCTTCTCTAAATAGGACCTGCCGGGAACTCTCTTGTCTGAAGGCTATTTGTGATGTTCCAAGAGGAATTCATGCCTGGTCGGGAGTTTAATGAGATGAGGTCCAAGAAACATAGAGGGGGCCAAAACCGGTGTGGCTCAGTGGATAGAGCATCAGCCTTCGGACTGAAAGGTCCCAGGTTCGATTGCGGTCAAGGGCATGGACCGCAGTCGGGGGATGTGCAGGAGGCAGCTGATGGATGATTCTCTCTCATCAATGTTTCTAACTCTCTATCCCTCTGTCTTCCTCTCTGTAAAAAATCAATAAAATATATTTAAAAAGAAAAAAAAAAAAAAGAAAAGAAAAGAAACATAGAGGGAATACAGCTAGTTCCTGACAGAAATGAGTAAGTGTCCAAATTCCTGATTTCCTGGTGCCTGTAAACTACAGCATGACATAGAGTGTCTGCTAAGTTTCGTTTCTAATACTGTTAGGGGAAGGGCATCTTTTTAGGAAGGGCAGGTACACTGTAGAAAACCATCACTGCATAGTCATTTATAAAAATAACCTTTGCCTAAGAAAATATTAGTGTTCTTGTCCCATCCACTAACTAACCAGTCAGAAAGGCATTTCCCTGCAGGGCGATCCGTGAACCCACACTTTAGAAAGAACACCACCATCTCAATATTCCTACTGCTGTCAGCCAGTGTACACCGCCTACAATCATTATACCCTTTTATGAATGAGGTCATAAACGTGAAAGATGGTTTTAAATGCTTACAGTCTGATTTTCTTTCCCATTCTCTTCGGGTGTAAATGCCAACTGCTTATTAATTTCATCCATACTGATAAGTGATCGTGTTTTGATAAAGTGCTGAAAAGAGACGGCCTCCACATATTCCTGTAGTCCTGAAAAACCAACCAAGAAAATTACTGAAGAAAACAACTAAATGAATAAGAATGTCATAGCCCTAGCCCGTTTGGCTCAGCAGATAAGAGTTTGGCAGCCGACCAATGATTCTCTCTCATCATTGATGTTTCTCTCTCTCTCCCTCTCCCTTCCTCTCTAAAATAAAATATATATATATATATATATATATATATATTAAAAAAAAAAAGTCAAAGAGACTTCAAGTGGCGCATCGCCTGGCTGAACAAAAGCTTAGTGCACGCCCACCGGCTGAGAGTCAGCGCCATTTGCACGGCATGGATGGACCCTGAGGACACGGTGCCAAGTGAAATGAGTCAGACAGAGAAAGCCAAGAACCATGTGATTCCCCTCATAAAACTGAAACTTGTGAACACAAACAGCAGAGTGGTGGCTGCCAGAGGGAAGGGGGTGGGGAGAAAAGGAGTCGTAATATGACGTGACAGGAGAAGATCTGACTTTGGGTGTGGGCACATGGTGCAATGGACAGATCTTGTAACACAGAAACCCACACGTGAAGCCTGTATGTTCATGTTGACCGATGTCACCACAATCTAATAAATATTTTTAATTCATCTCTTAATGGGGGTGGTTATTAAATATTACATTTCCAAGCATACCTAAGTCATTATTTAAGTTGTCTTTGGGGTGTGTTTGGTGGTTAAAGTTACTGCAGAGATGGGGTGGCCATTTCCACTCCATGTTAAGTTTCGTGCTATAGCGTGGAGAAAGTTCAAGGCCACCTGGCCCCAAGCACTGGAAAGCATTTCTGGGTCACATGTGGGTTAAAGGATGTTTAAACAAGTTATGTTTCAAGCTGATGAAAAGAACATCCGCTATTTTCAGCGACTAATCCCCAAGGTGAAGAATTTCAACCTCCTGCCATATCCCACCAAACAATGCCTTCCCCTTCTGCTTGTGCCCTGGCCGGAGTCCAACTGGAATTATTTACAGAAACAGCTGCCAGTGAGAGAGAAGTTTGTCATTTGCTGTTTTTCTCCTCGTTCTTCTATTAGGATATATACGAGGAAACCCAATGAAAGGCTTCTGGTTATTTTTACTTGTTCTTATAAAGGTGAACGGACAAGAGGTCCCATTGTAAATTCCAATTTCATGTCTGCACTTTCTTTCCAGGCATTTAGTCGTTCAAAAAACCGTTTGCCAGATGCCCCTGGCTCTTGGATACCCAGGAGAACTGAAAGTATTTATTATGTTCCCACAAAGACCTGCAGGTCAATGTTCGTTCATAGCAGCAGCTTCACTGAACTTCCATATCCTCATTTATCAAGTACAAACACCAACCCACCCGGTAGGGATGACGCAGAATGACAGATCGGTACACTTGAATCACACTGAGAATAATTAAAATAAGAACGACAGGTAGTCATTTTTGTTAGAAATATAACTTAGAATACAGTGGAGCTTTTTTGTTTTTGTTTCAATGTATTAACTCACAATTAAAAGAGGCCGTTATTATTCAAATAGGTTAGTCCAATATGCACTATAATAGTAAAAAGTTAATAGGTAAGTTATGTTAATGGATCACTACTCTTTATCCAATGAAGGCAGTTTGTTAAGGAATAAGGACCTCTTTGACTTAGGCATATGTTAAGTACTAACATCAGAGATATAACGTGGGTGGGTTTATAAGGAACAACTTAATACTGGGGGGAGGAAAGTTTAAGCAAGATACAAGCCTTTACCTGGGGTTAGGTTCTCAACTCAACATGCAAATAGCACCCATGTGGTATGAAATCCATGGCTCTCCTTACTAGCTTATGGCCTTGGGCAAGTTGCTCAACTCGTGTGAGTCTGAATCCCCCACTTAAGAAGTGGTAAAATTATACCTTCGATTTAGGGATATAATAAAGGCCATGAACATAAAGAACAGTAGCTACGAAATATCTCTAACTGGCCCAAAACGTCCACTTAAACCATCATTCACACGCTCGGGTAAGAGAATGAAAATATCAGTTAGGGTATGAACTTCGTGTATGAAAATGAAATGACAATTTTTATCCTCGTAATATTAACTAAATATGTGTGTGTGTGTGTGAACATAATTTATTTTCTTTGACACATAGGACATTTTCTCCAACTGTTAATTTTTCAACATGAGAGAAAAACAAAAGATTGACAGGGCACAAAAAAAAAACACTATTAAGTGGCTTATTTCAAGCAACTCAGGATTCGCTCATTTGTTCCGCCATCCCCTGGGACAATCCGTAATCTACTCCGATAAGAAGCGTGCAGAAAACAGACCTAACCTTTTGTTGTTGTTCAATTATGAGTAGGATGCTCGGGGTTTGAGCTCACACAAGTGCCCCGCAGGGAACAGCTCTGCGTGCCATTAGCACTATTCTTAATGAGGAAAAGCAGAGAGCTCCTTTAGTTCGGTGCCAGAATTGTTTTATCTCCAAGTCAAAGAGAACAACTGTTTGGAGCAACACCAAAACAAGCATTGAACAATCACAAACAGCAAGCTATTCATAAGCATCGTATTGTTAATGCTATGCTAATGGTAAGTAACCTGGGTTTTGTCAAATATCTGTCAGCAAATTTTTTAAATCCGAGATACCTCTTCATTTGACTGATTACTTAAACTTTAAGAAAAAAAAAAAAATGCTTATTGCTTCAACTTAAAAGAACCTAGTTGTATTTTAAAGACTTGTCATGAGCCCTAGCTGGTTTGGCTCAGTGGGTAGAGCATCTGCCTGGGGACTGAAGGGTCCCAGATTGGTCCACAAATTGACACTCTATCCACTGAGCCAAACTGGCTAGGGGTACACATGGATTTTTGATGGCCAGGGGTGGGGGTGTTGGTTGGCACCCCAACCCGTGTGTTCAAGGATCAATTAAAATTTGCAAATGGTGATAATCACCAAGATCCAGTATTGCCTGGAACTTCTGCCCCCCTGCTGGGAGATCAGTGCCCTTTGTCTGAATCCACTCCTCACACTCAAGAATCAAGTCACTGAGAAGAGTTACTAGGAAACAGACATTATTAAAATCTATCAATGAGCCGAGACCGGTTTGGCTCAATGGATAGAGCGTCGGCTTGGGGACTGAAGGGACCCGGGTTCGATTCCGGTCAAGGGCATGTACCTTGGTTGCGGGCATATCCCCAGTAGGGGGTGTGCAAGAGGCAGCTGATCGATGACTCTCTCTCATCGATGTTTCTAGCTCTCTATCTCTCTCCCTTCCTCTCTGTACAAAATCAATAAAATATATTTAAAAAAAATAAAAAAATAAAAAAATAAATAAAATCTATCAATGATTGTCACTGGACTTTGAGAAAAATAAAGCCAATTAAATGGTTTGGGTTACCTTTCCATTACTACTCAGCAGTCCCAATTTTTAAAAGCCAATGGTATGTTACCAAGTAGCCATTAAAATTCATGCAGCGCACACATACGTCATGTGACGCGCTGTGTTAAAATGCCGGCGCTGAAGAGCACTCACCCGTCGTGATGGCTCTGTGGAACTGATGCATCTCCTCCCCCAGCAGCTCCCGGGCCACCTGCAGGATCTTCTGTCTGACCGCGTCCAGCTTCACTTCCGACTCCGCCAGTACCTCCTCCATGTCAGGAGCACTGTGACCAAGACACTGAAACTTTTAGAACTCCAGCCAGATGCCTTATAGAGGAAGGCTGAAACAATCCAATTACCACTTAGCATGGGCCTACATAAATATTGTCTGTATTTGGGATACAAAATTACAACTGACTTTATTAAAACTGTGTAAACACATGGAAAATGATGTGACATACTATTAAGTGGAGAGGGAAAAAAAGTACACAAAGCTCTATGTATAATCATAACTATAAGAAAAATTACATGGGGGTGGGAGCAGCCAGGGAGAGGTCAATGTGGGGCGGGGAGGGGAGACATATGTAATACTTTCAATAATAAGGAATTTAAATTTAAAAAATATGTTCACAACAATATAACATCTGGATATGTCTGCTTTTAGTCAGGATGGAGTAACGTGGGCAGAAATTAGTCTCCCACCGAAAACAACTAAAAAGAAAAAAACAAAGCATACAAACTATGGTTCAGACATTGGACAACAGGCAGCACGGAAATGTGATGGAGAGAGGTGAGGAAAAGGACATGAGCCCTTGGACTGTCCCATCTCAGCGCCTGGACACTTTCCAAGGGACAGCGCGGGAATGAGAAACCCACATGGAGCCGAGAAGTCTCCCGGAGAAAGTATTTTGAATGGAATGAAAATGAAAAACAGTGTATCAAAGTTCATGGAAGGCAGTTAACTGGTATTTAGAGACCACAAGAGCAAGTTACAGCACTCAGTGTCTACGTTAGAGAGGAGCGTTCGTTCGTTTTTGTTTCTTGGGAAACTAGAACGAAAGAAACAAATCGGGGCAACTTAAGTAGGAAAATGGAAAATGCCCTAAAACCCAGATCCTTTAAGATCGGTAACACGGAGCCAGACAGATCAGGAGAAAGAACACAAATCACCGACCTCAGGAATGAGATGTCACTACAGAGCCTACAGAGATGAAAGGATAAAGGAAAAAATTCCTTGAGAGTCACACGCTACTGAAACTCACTGCTAGATGTGCCTGCTGCTAACGCCCTCTGACCCCAATGCTCAAAAGACAAGTCACGGAATATTCCAGCTGCTAGTTAGAACTGCATCCAAGTGCAGGAAAAGCTAGAGGATGCACTCACCTTGTAATCCTATGGAGCAGAAAGATTATCCTTTTACTTTCCACTGTGATATCCCGGCTCAGCTTCACAAGTCTCTCGTATTTGTCATGTCTGGCATCAAGTTCCTGCTGAAATGCTAAGAATACATTATTATGACCATCAGCGTGATTATTCTGGAAGTAAAGCCTATCACACAGTATTGTTACTATTCATGGCAAAGCGACTCTCATTTACTCTATAAAGAACACAACATCACCTTATTTATTTATGTATTTTTAAAATGTATTGATTTTTTACAGAGAGGAAGACAGAGGGATAGAGAGTTAGATCAGCTGCCTCCTGCACACCCCCCACTGGGGATGTGCCCGCAACCCAGGTGCATGCCCTTGACCGGAATCGAATCCGGAACCCTTCCGTCCACAGGCTGACACTCTATCCACTGAGCCACACCGGTTTTGGCATCTTACAAAAGAACGTGAAAATTAAAGACTCTGCTGGTAACTAAGATATCCTTTTTTTGCACAGAGATATGGTTAGCTGGGTTTTACCACGCAGAGCCTCATAACGAAACTGTGAACACACATCTATCCATCCAAGATTTACTGACAGACAGGAGTTCCCACTCTGGGCCAAGGACTCCAGTCAAAGCCAAAATACAGTCTGTCTTCAGAAGTCTAGTTGAGGCAACAAAACCAATGCACAACGTGGTCAGAGCGTCAGCCCTGGGGCCAACGGATCACAGGTTCAATTCCCTGTCAAGGGCATGTACCTCAGCTGCAGGTTTGATTCCTGGCTCTGGTTGGGGATCATGTGGAAGGCAACCAATCCATGTCTCTCTCTCTCTCTAAAATCAAATCAAATAAATAAGTAAGTAAATAAATGGAAAAAATATTCTCAGGTGAGGATATTTAAAAAAAAACATACACTTATAAAGTTAACTAGATGTATATATACTGCATATATATGTGTGTGTCTCCCTGGTACACATACACACCTGATATATAGGGATATGGCACAGAATATCCTGGTCACCAATGGACCTCACCTACACGGGTGGTCCTATCCCATCCTATTTAATAAAAGCCTAACATGCTAAGTGTCTGACTGCTCAACCAGCCACTATGATGTGCACTGACCACCAGGGGGCAGACGCTCCAACCAGTAGGTTAGCTTACTGCTGGGGTCCAGCTCCTCTCGCCCAGGATATACCCTGGAGCTCCCCACTCCCTCCCCAGCCTCTAAAATATTTCTTCTAATTAATTTCCTGTATAGATGTGCACAAATCCATGCACCAGGCCTCCAGGAAGATTATAATGGAGATGAAAAATTCCTCTTGTCTAGTGACACCATCGCCATTCTACTTAGTAACGTAGCCCACCGTGTAAACATGCCTACAGCCTGCACAGCGGTCCAGCACACGGGATTACAGAGTGGGCACACATGCCTGTGCATGGCACACCCATGGAACCACCTGGTGATGCGCCTCGCGGGTGGCCAAGCAGCACAGGTGAGAGTGTGTATGTGCTGACATACATGGGACACGCGATGATTTTTGGCACAGATGGCACTGTCTCATTGTCAATTCACCATCGTTTACCTGTGGGCCCATAATGGGGGGAAGGGGGGTAGAAAACCAAGATTTCTGTCATCTTGACCTTCCTAGCAGACCCCGCACCACCCAACCCCAGGAAAAGGAATCCACCCACACGGGCGCCTCTTAAAACTCTCCTTCTGTGCACGACGGTCAAGATTATTATGAGTTCACCGAAACCGGTGTGGCTCAGTGGATAGAGCGTCGGTCTATGGACTGAAAGGTCCCGGGTTCAATCCCGGTCAGGGGCGCGTACGTTGCTTGTGGGCACATCCAGTAGGAGGTGTGCAAGAGGCAGCTGGTCAATATTTCTCTCTCATCGACGTTTCGAGCTGTCTCTCTCCCTTCCTCTCTGTAAAAATCAATAAATATATTTAAAAAAAAAATTTTTAAAGATTATTCTGCCTTCAGAGATCATCATCATATGGCCACTCACTGTATATCAGGTGTGTATGCGTTCATCTATTGAATTAATTTTTAAAGTGTGTGTGGTTTAACAAAACAAAACAAAAAACAATCACCACACAAACATCCACCCTCGGACCTCTCTGGCTCTCTGCCTGGCCAGCGGGCGCTCCAGGGAACTCACCTTTGAAGGCCACCATCACGGGTGACGCCGAGTTCACGTCCTTCCCGTCCCTCCGCTGGCCGTGGGGGAAAGTGTCGTGCTTCCTCTTCCTGAAGCCTCCGTGTCCTGACACGGGGAAGGAGAGAACATTCAGACAGGCCCTTCCTTCCCTTCCCATCACCGGGAGGCGATCGCTGGTGATCTGTGTCTTCCCCTTACCCCCTCCTCCCCCACCTTCCTGCCTGGAGGGCCGGACGCCCACAGGGCCCGGGCCTCGGAGGCTCTCCCGACCCCAAACCTTAAAACTCGCTGGGCCAGGCCAGCGCCCCCCACCCCCCGACCCCCCATAGGTCCCTTCATCTGGCACGAGGGGGACCATCACCCCACTAACGTGTTTAAGCACGGCTCGTGCGTTTAAAGGAAGTGAAGGTGTCCAATGGTGGAGGGGGGAGAGAATAACGGGGAGTCGGGGGAGTCACCAGAACCGCCGCCCCCCGCCCCGCCCCCCGGCCTGCACAGGGCGAGGGCATCCCTGGGAGCGGAAATCCTACAAAAAACCCGGGGACCCACCCCCTCTGGGTAAACAACGCCCAGGGATGCGCAAGACGCCACCTTCTTTGTTGCTCATGTCGTCACAGGGTCTCTCTCTCCCTCGGACCCGGGGAGAGCGCGCGAGGCGGCGGCGGGAGAGCCTGCCGGGGGGTCCTTTGACGTCGCCACCCGCGAGCCGGAAGCGCGCGGCCGCAGACACTCAAACCCCGCCTTCTCCCTCGCACGCACACTTCCGGTCTGCGTCCGAGTCGCCTGGCCACCGGCTCCGCCGCGCGCGCGTGCCCGGTCCCGGAGGACCTCGCCTCCGCGTGCCCTCCGCCGTGCCCGACGACAGAAGCGACTCGACGCGCTTCCCAGCGTGCGCTGCTAATAAATAAGACAATCTGTGCTCCTGAAAGGGAGGTCTGTGTGAAGGTGGAAAAGCAGGGGGAAATGTGCGTGATTTTTTTCTTTTTTTTGCTTAAGGCGCCTTTGGAACACCCTGGCGAGGACCCAGCCTCCAGCGCGGTGCATCGTGGGAGTTGTAGTTCGTCAACTGCCCGTGTCCCCTCCCCCTCGCCAGGTTGGCTGGAACTCATCCATTCACGAATTCATGCCTCACGAATACACACACACACACACTCTCTCTCTCTCTCTCTCTCTCTCTCTCTTTCTCTCTCTCTCTCTCTCTCTCTCTCTCTCTCTCTCACACACACACACACACACACACACACACACACACACACACTCTGAGTGGCCAGATTATTATGCCTTCAGAGATCATAATAATCTGGCTACTCTGTATATCTAACTCTTGTTAGGAGATGTTTCCAATGAACTGATTAAACTGTCTGTAAAGGAAAGTGTTGCCTTTCTTGTCTTCATTTTAAATCTGAGGAATTAAAAGTTCTGAGAAAGGGTGTGTACCAATGCAGAGCGAATTCCTTATGTGATTAGTCAAGCTACCTGACTTCAGACAAGTTTTATTCCTGTCTCTCTGTTCTGACAAACTGCACAGCCTATTTCTGAGTGACCCAGATCAGGTTGGATCAACATGCTTGGCCAGGGAAAATGAGTAAACCCCAAATTAAAGCGACTTGTTTGGGCAAAACAAATGAATATATTATGGCATGAGCCAAGCAGGAACTTCCCCTGCAACTTTCCTGTGAACATGACACACGTTCCATGTCTAAAGGTTCCTCCCACGACTGCAGGGAGCAGAGTGGTACCTGCCAGGGTGCACGTCAAAGGGTACACAAGTTTAGGAGCCTGTGATGTGCTGATGATTTGACTCAGAACTGAATGATGGACAGAGTAATGCTACGTGAAGAGTATCCGTCCTTTTTTAAAAATATATATATATATTTTATTGATTTTTTCACAGAGAGGGAGAGGGATAGAGAGTTATTATAGAAACCTCAATGAGAAAGAAACATCAATCAGCTGCCTCCTGCACACCCCCTACTGGGAAAGTGCCTGCAACCAAGGTGCATGCCTTTGACCTGAATCGACTTAGGACCCCTCAGTCTGCAGGGCAGGCCGAAGCTCCATCCACTGAGCCAAATCGGTTAGGGCAGGATGGCATAGTTTTGCCTTGACTGTATAGAGTTGTAAATCAATTGATGAACAGTGTAGCATTCCAACCTACCCTAACTGCTCATTTATGCTATCTCCTTAGGGATAGTGTATGTCCTAGGCATTTCAATGTTGAAATGTACTTTTATTATTTTCTACCTTTCTTTCAAAAAGCATAGAAATGTTTAATGAAACAGTAAATGGTGATGGGTTCATTTCCTGGTCAGGGCACAAACCTAGGCAGCAGGAATTTCTCATCATCTTCACACTGTACACATTCAAGTGAGAAATGTTCAGTTGTCTCTTCCTTTATTTTATTTTTTTGCATGTTCATTTTGAAATCTGAACGAAATTCATTCAGTAAAAAGAAAACAATTTCATTTTCATTAAGACTCTTTCAGACTGGGTTCAGTTGCAAAAACATCAAAGAAATGATCCAGACCTCCCGCAAATGCCAAAGAAGGATTTTTTGTTGTTGTTGAAAACGTGAAAAAAGAAAGCATCGAAATAAAATGAAGTTCCATTTTAAAACCGTGGAGGAAATGCAACAAGCATTGATCAAACTCCGAAAAGTAACTGGAGAAAAAAGACATGGTTCTAAAAAGTGAAGAATAAACTACTAGGAAAAAGGAATTCAAATAAAATCTACTAACAATCATGGAAGAAAGCTAGTAAAAGAGCAAAAGAATGAAACTGAGATAAAGACATTTTAAAAGGAATCAGGGAGGATGTGATAGGAATAGAAAACAGACACGCACATAAATTAAACATACACATACTTGGAATTTTTTAATTAGAGAAATAAAACAATGGCACAAAACTAGTGTTTAAGTTTTTAAAAGGAACTTTCCAGAAGCAAGAAAACTTAAGTATTGAAGGAACTCACCACATTTATGGAGAAAATGATCGATATGAATTCTGAGACATTATTTTGGAAAAAAAATCACTAGATTCTAAAGACAAAAGAAAAACCTTCAGAGTCTCCAGGCAAAAAGATAAAATACTTACAAACTAGGCAAGAACATTAAATTGGCATTAGACTTCTCAAGAGCAACATACAAAGCTTTTTAAATATTTGTTGTTTATTCATATGATATATGAGGCTAGCACAGCCCTGCCCACATTAGCTGGTATTCAGTCAAGTTTTAGAAAATCCAAAATCATAGCCCTTTTTACTCTTTTTAAAAATATATATTTTGTTGATCTTAGAGAGGAAGGGAGAGGGAGAGAGTGACAAAAACGCCAACGATGAGAGAGAATCATTGATGGGCCGCCGCCAGCACACTCCCCACTGGGGGATCATGCCCGAAACCCAGGCCTATGCCCCTGGCTGGAATCAAACCCGGGACCCTTCAGTCTCCAGGCTAACTGCCCCATCCACTGAGCCAAACCAGCCAGGGTGAGCCATTTTTATTCTTAAAATAAAGGGCAGGCGGAAAGAAACACCCTTGGCTTATTTTGGTAAGGTTTTCAGGTTCTGTAAAATAAAAATAAAAAATTACACCCATCAACATGGCACAGATCCTATTAAGTGATTAATTTTTTTTTTCATTGTGAAGGTAGTGATGCTTGCTCATTTATCACCCAAATCCAATCCGCAGGAGTGGTTCCGCCAGATTGAATTTAAGTGCCTGATGCATGTGGGTATTGGAATGAGCATTGATTACTTTCAGTCGGTAGCTAAATATTATTTCGCGAGGTTTCGAACTTGGCAAGATTTTAACAGGGTTTGAAATGGTAAAAAATAAAAAAATAAATAAAATAAAATAAAAAATAATCAAATGTCAATACCTTCACAGGACCAAACCCGGCACAAGGGCTTGGGAGAACACCGCAGCCATACTCATGTCTGTTGCCTGTCCTGTCAGACCTTGTTGAGAGGCAGAGGCTGCCCGGTGTCATGGAGCAAACAGCTTTGAAATCTGACAGTCGGGTGCCTGGAACCGGACCCTGTCCTGCCTGACAGCGACCGGGTCCCTGGACCTCTCTGCACTCCCGTTTCCCCCGGCGCCCACCGAGGCCCGCGGGCAGACACCGTGCACACCGAGCCCAGAGAGCGCCTCCAGCACGTCGCAGGGCTGCACAAAGAAGCAGCCATATCGCGGCCGGCCCTCCCGGTCAGCGCGGCCCCAGCAGGTGGACCGTCCATCCCGGTGGGTCGCGGGCCCCGCAGCTGCGCAGTGACCCCGCCCTCTCACGGCCCGCCCCGCCCCCTCAGTGTCTCTGCGCATGCCCTGAGAGTAGCCCCGCCCCCGATGTCTCTGCGCATGCCCGGGGCGTAGCCGGCGAGGGGCGGGGCCACGCGCGGGACCGCACGCAGGCTCAGCGCGTGCGCGTGACTCCGCCCCCAGACACGCCCCCGGAAACGCCCCGTCCCCGCCCCCACGCACCGCCCGCCCGGGTCGCGGCGGGGCCGTGGTGTACGTGCCGAGCGCGCAGAGCGAGTGGCGCCCGCACGCCCTGCGCTCCTCCACAGGCCGGCGGGCGCCCGGGAGGCGGAGGCGGCGGCGGCGGCGGCCCAGGAGGCCGGGCCCGCGCGCCCGAGCGGAGATCGCCGTTCGCTCACGCAGGCCGCGTTCCCTCCACCCGCCATCCCGCCCGCGGGGCGATGCGGCGCTGAGCCCGGACCCGAGGACGGACGCGAGGTCGGAGCGGAGGACGCGAGGAAGCCAGCGGCCGGGCCGAGGGCGGGGAGCCGGCCTGCGTGAGGCGAGGGGCGGCGGCGGCGGCGGCGGCGGGTGCATGGCGCAGTGACCGGGCCCCTGGCGCTCCTCCGCCCGCTCTCCTCCGGCCTCGGGCGAGGCCGTCCGGCCGCCACCCCTCCTGCTCGGCCGCCGCCGCCGCCGCCGCCGCCGCCATGGCCAATGACAGCGGCGGGCCCGGCGGGCTGAGCCAGAGCGAGCGCGACCGGCAGTACTGCGAGCTGTGCGGGAAGATGGAGAACCTGCTGCGCTGCAGCCGCTGCCGCAGCTCCTTCTACTGCAGCAAGGAGCACCAGCGCCAGGACTGGAAGAAGCACAAGCTGGTGTGCCAGAGCGGCGAGGCCGCCCCGGGCCCCGGCCCCGGCCCCGCGGCGGCGGCGGCGGCCCCGGCCCCGGCCCCGCTCCCGCCGCCCGGCCCCGCGCCGGCCCCCGCCGCGCCGCCGCCGAAGGCCGCTGGGGCCCGGCGGGCCAGGAAGGCGGCGCCGCGCAGGAACAGCGCCGCCGGGGACGCGGCCAAGGCGAAGGCCCAGCCCGCGGCGGCGGCGCCCGGCGGCCAGGGCCAGGGCCAGGGCCAGGCGGCGGCCGAGGCCGAGGCCGCGGAGTCCGCCGCGGAGGAGCCGCTGGTCCGCGCCAAGTCGCTGCTGCGGGAGAAGGCGAACCTGTACCCGCCGGGCAGCGCGCCGGGCGGCCTGCGGCCCAACGGGCAGACCAAGCCGCTGCCCGCGCTCAAGCTGGCGCTGGCGCTCGAGTACATCGTGCCCTGCATGAACAAGCACGGCATCTGCGTGGTGGACGACTTCCTGGGCCAGGAGACGGGCCTGCAGATCGGCGAGGAGGTGCGCGCCCTGCACGACACGGGCCGGTTCACGGACGGCCAGCTGGTGAGCCAGAAGAGCGACTCGTCCAAGGACATCCGGGGCGACCAGATCACCTGGATCGAGGGCAAGGAGCCCGGCTGCGAGACCATCGGGCTGCTCATGAGCCGCATGGACGACCTGATCCGCCACTGTAACGGCAAGCTGGGCAACTACAAGATCAATGGGCGGACGAAAGTAAGTGTCTTCGCCCCTGGCCTGGCCGGCCCGGCCCACAGGCGGGCAAGGGGGCCGCGCGTCTAAGCGAGGAGCATGGAGTCTCCGATCTCAAAGGATCTCCGGGTGCAGGAACCCCCCCACCCCCATACACACCCCATAAGAGAAAGGCTAGGACCCCCCTTTTCTCTGGTGTGTCCCCCCACCCCCCGTGTTCCACCCTCTGCCCGCTGGCAGACTTCCCGTCCAGTTGCCTAGTTTTCTGGCTGAAGGTATAGACTGGCTATAGATTCCCTTTAACTGGTACCTTCTCTCCCGCATCGCACTGGGGTTTTAGCCGCCCCGTGGGGGGACAGGGGATGGGGGGGTGTTATTAAAGTGCATGCAATCCGCTCCTCTGATCTCTGGGTTTTGTGCCAGCCACTTGCAGTGCTGAGTTAGGGATCTGCCCGCTGTCCGCAGGAAGATAAATGAGGAATAAGCGCGCAGTTAGACTTCCCCGCTCGGGAAGAGTTAGGCAGCTCTCTTCCCCCTCTCCCTCCTCCTCCCCGCATCCCTCCCGTGTTGATTCCCACTGCATCAGGGGGAAAGAAGGGTTTCCGTTTGCAGACCTCGCCCGGGTAGGTAGGTTACAGTTTTAGCTTAGGTTTCCTTTGCTTGCTTTGTTGGAAAAGAACTGTTTTGTATCTTGAGGGGGTGGGGGGTGGGGGGAAGACAAAACAAAACAAAACAAAACAGAAACAGCCCACATGTGGAATTGGAGCAAGAGTGAGGGTTCATACTACCATCTCAGTTTGGTGACATTTGTTTGCTTTCTTCTCGTTGCTATTTCAATCCTTCTCTTCCCCCCCCCCCCCACACAGATGCCTCAGTTCCCACCTCCTGATCCCGCCTGCCTCCGCAGAGTGGCACACAGTGGGTTCTCGCAGTCCTTCTGCATTCTCCTTCCCAGGTCTTAAGAGTTTTCTTTGAATCCAGGTTCATCCCGGGCCACCCCGCTCCACCCTCCTCCATCCATCCCTGTCTGATTCTGGGAGTCCCAGCTTATCGCCGGACCATCACACCCGGGAGGTGTTTGTGGGAACACGCTGCTCTTCCTGGTCCTTAGTTCTTTGTGTGGGTCCTGCCATCTATTGTGATCATCCCCGTGGATGACTCTCAGGCCGAGCGAGGAAGTTCTGAGCATGGACCTTTGGCTGCGGGAGATGGAGTGGGAAGTCTGGCTTACCTGTTGGTGCTCCATTGCTGGGTGAAGGCACATCTATAGGTTGTCTCAAGAAAAGGGAAAGTTGCTTAATATGAAGCTGCAAGAAAAAAGAGGGCTATTCAACCTTAACCTCGTGGTGGTTAACCAGGTTTCCATTGATATGTTTTTAAATGTCTTTGTCATGGGTTGAATGTGAGTGTGGTCATGAACCCTAGACAGGAAAGGTTGGGGGAATATTAATATTAATATTAATCTAGCTCTGGGAAGACTGACCAAGGAAGTTGTTGAGGCTTAAGCTTCAGGGGAAGCCGTGAGGAAGAGGATGTCTACAATCTTCTCTTCTTCCCTCTTCGCCTGTGTCCTTCTCTCAGTCAGCCTGTCTCGGGCAGTAGCTGTTAGAAAATACCTCCTTCCTACAGTCCCAGCGCGAAGGCAGTAGTAGCTTAGGCTTTCAATTATTTGACTGTACATGTGAGAAAGGAAGGATGGACTTTAGATTTGACCCTGCACTCAGGATCTAGAAATGATTTTAGGGAATCCCTTTCATTGATCTTGTTGGTTTCAAGACTTTTCGCTAAATACCCATGTTTAATTATGTGATGAACTATTCCTAAAAATTCCAAAGATATTAAAGAATGGGAAGGCAGTCAGAATACCAGCCGTCATACTGTTGTGAGCAAACAGTGTGCTAGGCACCAGATTAATTTTAATACAGGCAGGATGATGATCATCCTAATCCTGTAGGTAGTATCATTCCTAATTTACCATCCGAGGGTATTTCAGCTCCCACGTGTCCAAAGCCTCCACTTAGGATAACCTGCAGATTCATACTTAGATCCTTCAAATATCAAGCTACATGCTTTTTAAAAAAAAAAAACAAAAAACTACACTGCACATAGGTAGGGTGTGAGATGGAAAAGTGTAGATTACTTAGCATACTACTGAAACTAAAATTTTATACACATTTTGATGATGGTGAGTAAATGAATAGCCTCTATGTGACTAACTGCCATATAAACTTTTGATTAGGTGACTATACACTGTTTACTTTGGAGAGTGGCTACAAAACCACTTTGTAGTTAGCCATTTGAGTCATGTTCACTTAGTATAGTAACTTGAGAGAGGAGGACTTTATCATCTTTACAACATTGTAGCGATCTGAAAAGTTACCTGCCCCAATTGTGTAGGTTTTTCTCACAGCTTTCACAGCCGTCTATAAAACAGGCAGGTCACGGCTGTATCATTTCTGTTCCTAGATCAAAAAAGTGAGCCCCAGGAAATTCGGTCACGTGTTGCAAGAAATTCACGCCGCATACCAGGACTTGAATTCCAATTTCTGAACGAGACGCTGATGGTTTTCCTCATTGACCTGATTCTGTATGGTCCTTGTGTGTGTCAGGGTGTGATAGTCACGTGACATGGGATTGGCTGTGGCTCCTTCCGTGAGGGCTTTGATTTCCCCCAAGTTTCTCCTTCGGACATGCTTATCTGGCCGCAGTGTGTCCAGCTGCTTTGAAAGAGGAACCACCAGGGAAGGCTGCAGTGATACAGGAAAACGGGAGCACAGATGTAACCGCTCTGTTTGAATGTCCTCTGGCCCTGTTTGGGGGTTTCACCCTCCCCTCCCCACGCCCTTACATTGCCCTTTGACCCTGGACCCGTCTCACCCCCTTTCTTCCATCAGGGGGACTTGTGATGATGTCCAGGCGGGTGTAGTCAGGGTCTGCTCATTTAGGAAGAGGAGTGACTGTTAGAAATCAGGTGCCTTCACCCGGGGGCTCAGGAGGAGGAGGAATGCTGAGCGCTGAGGATTATGGGAAAGTGTCAAACTATTATTCAGTCGGAGATTCTTAGCCACTCTAACGGGAAAAGTTTTTCTGTAAAGATAAAAATGCTAAAATCATATACATACTGTTAGAATTTTATCCAAAACTTACTCTGTTCAGTTCAGATGTACATTAAGAGAAGGAGTGACATTTTTTAAAAAGGAGTAGGTTAGGTTGAGACCAACAAGTAGCAGATTATATCCCTGAGATTTTTTTCACTTTGGCTGATTATACTTTTAGATCCACGTATAGGATGAGGAAAATTCTGTTACCGTCACTAATGTAGGGGTTGTGACAGTCCTGTTAGATGTCACCAACAGAACTTCTTCTCACTCTACTCTGCTGCTTTTTCAATTCTCTTGGCATCCAGCACTTGCCAATCGAAGCAGTTTGTTTAATGATTTGACAACTATCTCAGAATTCAAGATCAAAGTCAGTTATTCTGTGTGCAGAAAGGCTGAAAACATCCACACTTCAGTGATTTTTATTTAGTGCTTTAAAATTGAAGACACACATGTAGATTGAAAGAGCGGCCTTAATAGTAGGCTGTGCCTGAACCAAGTTCAACGGTAAAGGAAAACGTGTCGTGTGGTGAGTTGGTTCACATGTAGTTTATGTGTAAGGTGACTCCTTCCATTCTGAAGACTTTCCCTTTCAATTGAAAGGGTGTTTTTGTGAGATGTGCTTTAGGAGCGTGCTTATAACTCATCCCTTATCTATTACCTAATAGGCCACAAAAATACCCTGAAAGCCTTAGTCATCGGAGGGCATCGAAACGTGGATGGAGAGTAGACTTTGTGCTATCAGATCTGGGCTGAATCTGGACCTGCCACTACTTCTGTCCTTGAACCCGTTGCTTAATCTTCCTGTGACTCAGTGACTTTAAAAGCTGTTAGCGATTACTCTTCCCATTTAACTTTTTTTTTTTTTTCTGATTCTTTAAGACTCTGTGCTTTTCCTATCTTTCTCCCTTTTATAAACTAGAGGGGAAAAGACTTAGAATCATCACCCATTTTTTACCTAACCACTTCTCCTCTCTCCCTTCTTTTCTCTCTCTCCCTCTCTCTCTCTCTCTCTCTCTCTCCCCCTCCCTCCCTCCTTCTCTCTCTCTCTCTCTCTCTCTCTCCCTCCCTCTCTCTCTCCCTTCTTCCTTCTCTCTCTCCCTCTCTCCCCCCCCCCCTCTCTCACACACACACACACACACACACACACACACACACACACATTTTCTTTAAACAGAGGAAATAATTCCCAGAGGGGTTAAGTGACTTACTTGTTCAAGGTCATGGCCGCTGGTTAGTGACAAAACTGACTGACGTCTATTTAGTTCATGCTCATATCTAACTTTATGCCGCATCTCATGAAAAAATTACGGATTTCCACTTAACTCATTTGCAAGTATTTTATGCCTTTTTTTTTTTTTTTTTTTTTTTTTTTTTTTTTTTTTTGAGAATTCCTGAACATTTACGACTTCCTTTTCCTTCCATTTACCCTTGTCATCCTACACTTTGGTGGATTTGACATTCTTCCTAGTTTAACTATTCTTCCTTTAGATAATTCCCCCCTAATCTCCCTAGATGTTCTTCGCTCACTCTTTCCTTTCCTCCGACATAAAAGCCCTTTTCCCTGAGCAGGCCTGGCCTCCCTGTTTCCTGCGCAGGAACTGATGTCTGATCAGCTTAGTTTTTAATTTCTTGCTTGAGGCCTCGCACATGCCACCAGATGTTTCCGTCTCCCTTTCATTTGCGCACATGCCTAGACAGTTGTCATGGGTGCATTTCACTGCCTCCTTTCCCTCTCTGCCCTTGCTTCTGCACTTGAAACATTGTTCGCTGCAGGAGGCATTCAGATCATTTACTGAGTCATGGTTAGAGCTTATCTTTGACTCTGAGTCCAGCTAAAATCTTCCTGTCCTAAAAGAAAAATGAAAGGAACAAACAAAACTGATAGATGGTTCACCAGAGTCTTCCCTCACAATTCTTGATTTA